GAAAATGAAGCAAGGCTTAGAAAGTAAGTATTTAAAAAGTGAGATTTATCATCTACAGCTGGGGTTCCAACTCCTTTTAGTTTATGTGCAACACACAGCCCAGTTTGATCTCAAGCGGTGGGACCAGTATAACAATTGCAGAATTCAATTCAATTCAATTTTGTTTATATAGCTCCCCTTATGAGCAAGCACTTTGGGGACAGTGTGAGGGAAAAAGAAAAACACTGCTGGTGTACAGCATGGTTGAGCAAATATTTAAGCTAATATTTCTCCCAAAGAAGCTATATATATATCCCAGCTTCTTTGGTTTAATCAGATAGCTTTTTCTTCTCTGAAGGATCGCGGAAAACAACATTGAAATTCAGAGACAGGACCACGAGGCCGAGGTGGCAACTCTGAAAGAGGAGATAAAAAGGCTGAAAGAAGAACGAGTCATCCTGCAGAGAAAGTTAGAAGAGGGGGCGCAGGCGAACTCAGACCTGCAGGAGCAGGTCATCCAGCTCACCAAGCATGTCAAACTAATTCCCGAGCTACGCAGAGATCTGAACAACCTGCAAAATCAGAGAAATAACATGGAGAGAAAGATGAAGCAGCAGTCGGAACAAGCAAGAGGTGTGTATAGAATTTTATGTAAAAAAAAAACAAACTCCTTTGTGTAAAGAAAAAGAAGTTGTTTGTTGATGAGCCTTGAATGTTTTCTGCAGGTAAAGTGAGTGAGATCGCAAGGCAGCTTCTTGAAGGTGTTGTTGAAGAGGAAGTTCTTCTGGGGTAATCCAGATATTTTGAGCACTGTGTTTCCTCACTTCATCTCTATTAGTCATTTAATCTGACACATTGTTTCTCCAAAGGATGACTTCTGACGAATCAGAGAAGATTTATGAAGTTGAAGATTTGCTGTCAGCCTTTGAACGCCTACAAAAAGCCATCAGGTCTTCATTTTTCAACCATAGCAAACCACTTTCTTATTAACAGAAACGTGCAGCTTTCCTTCTGGGTGTCTGTACTTGAATTTGTTAAATGTCTCACATTTGTTGGCAGGATTCTAGAAAACCACCAGAGGGAGCAGAAGGAAAGCTATGAGACTCAAGTAGAGGGCTTGAAATTGAAAGTGGACCACCTTGAGAATGAGAACAGCAAGCTGCAAAACCTGTTCCAGGAGAAAAGCAATGTCAATGAAAATATTTGCCAAGAAGTGTCCAGACTCAGCAGTGAAAACTCAGTATGTCATTGCACGTATTATTCGATACGTCACGGGTTAAAGGTGCGAGCTTCAGAATGTAACTGTGACGTCTGCTTTAATTTCATTCGCAGGTGATCCCGGAGCTGAAGCTGCGGGTTTCAGAGCTGCAGAGACAGAAACAAGAGCTTGAAGGCCTTGTTGAGGAGCAGAAAAGAGAATTAACAGGTACACTCTTTTGTTCAGGAGTCTCGCAGTGAAGCAGATTACTGTTTTAACTTGCTCTTTTATTTTTATGTCATTCAACAGAAAAAAACAAAGAGATCTCTCACAATCTTCAAAAGAAGATTACAGAAGAGAGCTCACAACGGAGGTAAATTACTCAGCGGTAGTGATGTCTTTCTTGATTAAAGTAGTGATGGTCATATCTGGTTCATCCTGATTTTGGATGTTTTTTTTAGGTACTTTGAGGAAAAAGCTGAAGAGCTGGAGGGGGAGAAGAGAGAGCTTCAAGGCAGAGTAGAGGAGCTGGAAGAGGAGAATGATCACTTGAAGAGACAGCAGCTGATGGAGAATGAGGTCAAAAGCAAACTCAGAGAGGAGACTTCACGGTTAACTGCTGAGAACATGGTGCGTTGAGCGTACGAAGGGTAGAAGGTTACAGTGAGAGTAAACCAATAACTGATTCCACTTTTAATTCAGGACTTTGACGAGCTGCTCGACCAGAAAGACAGATTAATAAAGAAACTTCAGACTCAAGTTAAGAGCCTCGAAACGTCACAGAGAGGTAGCACTGGAGCTCCTGCGCCACATGTAAACAAAGAAATCGAGTCCATACAAGCTGTCTCAACTTTTTCATCACATTTATTGTTTCTCAAACAGCGAGGCAAAAAACTGCATCCACCCTTCCCAAAGATTACCTTGGCATGTTGGAGTACAAGAGAGAGGATGAACCAAGGCTCATTGAAAACATCATTCTGGGTATTCTTCCCCTGCACTATGTCTGCAATATGCCCATGTTACCTGCCTTTTATTTAATAATCATATAAGCTATTTGATCCATGGATGTGAGCAGGAGTGAGGGTATTAAAACTCGGATGAATGGATAAACCATATTCTCGGACAAATTTGTCCCGATTTCCTCGCAGATCTGAAACTCAAAGGCGTGGCGGTCAACATGATCCCGACCCTGCCAGCTTACATCCTCTTCATGTGCATCCGCCATGCGGACTACCTGAACGATGAGGCAAAACTCAAGTCCCTTATGAATGCAATCATTGGTGGAGTCAAGAAAGTCATCGTGGTAAAGTTAACTATTTTTGTAACCCTTGTTTAACCAGGAAGTAAAACTCTTGAGCTCAAGATTCTCGTTTGGGGTTTTGCACCCCAGATAGGTGGGGTTAAGCTAGCTGAGAAACAAGTCCTAGCAGGAGGAGGTGGGGTAGACCCAGGACATGCTGCAGAGATTATATCTCTTGGCTGGCCTGGGAACACCTCTCTGTTCCCCTGGATATATATGGATAGACTGGTGAATGGATTGATGTATTTTGAGGTATTGTTTATATCTAATAATGTAAACAACATTTTCCTGTTTTAGAGTCATCAAAAAGATTTAGAGTTCCTGTCCTTCTGGCTCTCAAACACCCACCAGCTCCTCAACTGTCTGAAGCAGTACAGCGGGGAGGAAGTACAAATTTACTTTTTTTTAAAAAAAATCAGTAGTTACTGTTTCATTTCTGTCTGTTGATAATATCATATACATATTAAAATGCTCTTGTTTTCCATCCTGTTAACAAAAGGAGTTCCTGAAGCAAAGTACACCTCGCCAGAAAAAAAACTGCTTGCAGAATTTCGATTTGTCGGAACACAGACAGATTCTCAGCGATCTGGCCATCCAAATCTATCATCGGTTTATCTCAGTCATGCAAAAGACTCTTACTCCCACTATTGGTAATGTTTTTTCAAATGTAATATTTTGCCAAAAAAATCCTTTTATGAGTAAGCTAAACCCTACTTCTACACTTTCTTAGTACCCGGCATGCTGGAGCACGAGAGTCTACAGGGGATTTCTAGCATGAAGCCGACGGGCTTCAGGAAGCGTTCCAACAGCTTCTATGAGGAATCAGAGACCTACACCATCTCCTCCATCCTCCAGCATCTAACTGTCTTCCACTCCACCATGAACCACCATAGTCTGGACCAGGGCCTCATCAAACAAGTGATCAAACAGCTGTTCTACCTCGTGGCTGCGATCACTCTTAACAACATCATGCTCCGCAAGGACATGTGCTCCTGCAGGAAGGGGATGCAGATCAGGTCTGTGCTCGCAGATCAGGTATGTGCTTTGAACACAACTCAAAGAGAGTTTAGTTTAACAGCTGCTTTCTCTTTTCAGATGCAACATCAGTTATCTAGAAGAGTGGCTGAAAGAGAAGGAACTTCAAAACGTGAATGCTATGGATACTTTGAAGCCACTGGCTCAAACTGCGTGGTTACTGCAAGTCAACAAATCCACTGATGATGATGCCAAGGAGATCATTGAAAAATGCTCTGAACTCAGCCCCGTTCAGGTACTTCCATCTGTTGTCTAAAATGTGGTTTTGGTGGGTTCTTTTTTTTCATTTTTAAATCTCGCACTAAACTCCAACCTAACATTAAAATTTGTAGATTGTCAAAATTTTGAACTCGTACACGCCCATTGACGATTTTGAAAAAAGAGTGACATCATCGTTTGTCCGCAAAGTTCAGGTGAGCCCAGCTGTTCATTTTCAAATATAAACACCCTCCTAGCCAAAATAAATACAGTTGACTAAGCTGTCAATATATTTCTCATTCCAGTCTTTGCTCCAAGACCACGAAGGCTCCGCACAGCTGATGCTGGATGCAGATTATCGTTTCCAGGTCACGTTTCCATTCTGCACGTCCACACAGGCTCTGGAGCTGCTGCAGGTCCCGAACAGCCTTCATCTCGACTTCCTCAACAGGATCTGACACACAGATCCTTTGACATTTTTACTCCTTATGCTGAGTCTTAGTCAGTCTGTTTAAAGTTGCACTAGATTGTAGATAGAAATATTTAAGCACTTTCATTAAAACCCTGTACAGCACATGTTTAAAACAAAGAACAACTGAATAACATTGCAACATTTTGACCAAACACGACATAGCAATGATATTTTATTCTTGTGTACTGTATATAATATGTGTGTGTGTGTGTGTGTGTGTGTGTGTGTGTGTGTACATTTTTATTTAAATTGCAATAACATGCTAAATAAATGAATAAAGGCATTATCTTGGATTAAAGCTATACCAATGCAAACCTATTTTATACTATCATATACTCAGGTTAAAATACAGCAAGGCTAAAATATGAGTTAATTAAATGCTCACTGTGTATTTTTTTCATATGTGTGTCCTGTAGTTGAATCAGAAGATGTAAGATGTGAAAATGAAGTAATGAATTTATAAAATAGCATGCCAAATCACCAACTCATAACAGCTCATTAAAAAAAATGAAGAAGAATAAAATTACTTTAACAAACAATATTACTTGTTTTCTCAGTAATTCTTTTTTGGTTAAAATGAAAACATCTTTGCTCCATTTCAGCATATTAAAATGCCAGAAAGCCCTCTCTCCCTCTCCCTCTGCCACATTAATGCCTTTCAGGCAAACGAGCTTGTCCCTTCTCTTCATGTGGGCAGCGTGAAAAAAATGCATTATTAAGCTGAGTGTAGTGTTGCTTAGGGGATGCATCCTGTGTGTGTGTGTGTGTGTGTGTGCGGCAGCATCACCGGGATGCAGGATCCTCCTCCCCTGGAAACTGGAGGAGCATCTTCGCCCTCTGACGTCATGACAGCAGCATCAGCTGTTAGCTCTGCTCTAAGCCTTTTCGCTGCCGATCGCTTCCTGCTCAAAGGAAATATATGAGATCCCCTCCAACCCCTGAAATGGCGACACAGGAGGTACCGCTGAACGAGACTCTGGCTCACCTCAAAACGGAGTCGGAGACGCTGAAGTCGAAGCTGGAGGAGGAAAGAGCGAAGCTGCACGATGTCGAGCGTGAGTGCTAAAAAAATGGAGAGGCCCTGATTCATTCCTGCGTTTACCCTGTGACGGGACGGATAACAGCGAGCGTCTCCTCATAGCCTCACGTTTCTCCGCCAGAAGTCAAAGATCGCCGGTGTTACCGGAGATGGGGGATTTGGCGGAGCAGATTATCGATCCGATCGGCGCCGATGTCACCGATTTGTCAAGAGACGGGGGCAGGCTGTTTTGTTTGCCTCCCCATTTCATAGCCTAATACTTTCATCCATGTTTCATCCATGGACTGTTTTCCTTTCCTTTCTTTCTTTTTATTTATTGATTTATTTTTACTCATATTTTACTCATAATATCTGAACAATATGACAATTAAAGCAAGAGTGTGAAATAAAAACGTGAAAATCAAGCACAGGTCATTTCTGATGCATATTTTATGTGATTCGGGCTATCTGAGACATGGCAGATTAAAAATAGATTAATTCAATATTCCTCCATTTAGATGGGCCTGCTGTAGTTTAATCCTGGCTGCTGCCACGAGTGTTAATGTGGGGACATGTTTAATGTATAATATACATGTGTGTTTGTGCAGTACATCAGGTGGCAGAGAAGGTGGAGGGGCTTGGCCAGTTTGTCATGAAGACCCGGAGGACCCTGAAGGGGCACGGGAATAAAGTTCTGTGCATGGACTGGTGCAAGGACAAGAGGAGGATCGTCAGCTCCTCACAGGTCACAAACCCCTAGTCTCGTTTCCAGCTGACTGCAGAGCAAGTTTGTTGTTGGTGGCATGTGTTTTAAAAGTGTACAAACCTTTATTATCTTTTGATACAGGATGGAAAAGTTATTGTGTGGGACGCTTTCACCACCAACAAGGTAACTTTTACTTTTCATGGGTCACGTATTCTTAGATATTTGTATTTTTTGCTTTTGAATCGATAACAATAAAAATAATATAAATTTCCATGATGGTAATAAGTTTGCTTTAGATAGAATTTTTTTTTTTAGATCAGATAGGAGTGACACATAGGATTTGTGCATCAATATATCTATTGTGTGCTGATGGTAAATCCAACTGTCCTGTTTTTATGAAGGAGACATCAGAGTTAGATGATAAAAACTGAAATTGTGTAAAAGTGTTTTCTAAAGTTTTCTACATGGGACAAACCAAAGCTAGTTGTTCTGCTTTGATTATGGATAATGAATTCTCCCTGTGCGGCTCGAGCACAAAAGCCTTGTCTTCTGATGTTTATAGGAACATGCTGTGACAATGCCTTGCACCTGGGTGATGGCCTGTGCCTATGCCCCCTCTGGCTGCGCTGTAGCTTGTGGGTGAGTGCGTTACTCTCTATGATGATCCAGATCTGGTTGTATTTTGCTGTATTTTTTGTTGCTTTTCTGTATTTTGTTTTTGTGGTAAAGTGTGTAGCTTCTCTGTTGCAGAGGCCTGGACAATAAATGCTCAGTTTATCCTCTGTCTTTGGACAAGAATGAGAACTTAGCTGCAAAGAAGAAGTCAGTGGCCATGCACACAAACTACCTGTCTGCTTGTAGCTTCACCAACTCGGATATGCAGGTGAGAAAACTGTCACCACACTCTAAAAACATCCACAAACCACTGAGGATCATGGGTAAAATGCCTGTGGAAACAGTAGCTGCAAGCTACCTTTTTATTTTTCTCTCAATCAGATATCACTTCCTTCTATATTCCAGTGAGAGCTCCCATACTTTGTTAATAATTTACAAGTTTGACTTCCTGGTCACATGAGGTGTCACACTGCAAAGGCAGTCCATTTACAACTACATGATAGCCTGTAACGACTTCTTTCTTTTTTTTCTCTTGCCGCATGCATTCAAGATCCTGACGTCCAGCGGGGATGGAACATGTGCATTATGGGATGTTGAGAGTGGGCAGCTGTTACAGAGTTTCCATGGACACGCTGCAGACGTGTTGTGTCTGGATCTGGCCCCATCTGAAACCGGAAACACGTTTGTTTCGGGGGTGAGGACACTTTCTGCACAGCTTTCGGTACAGCTTACTTAAAGAGGCTAAACACTGAAATTTTTGACACTTTCTGCTTTGCTTTCATTGGCAGGGCTGTGATAAGAAGGCCAATGTCTGGGATATGCGTTCAGGGCAGTGTATTCAGTCCTTTGAAACTCACGAGTCAGACATAAATAGCGTACGGTAAGTCACACCCTTGTAATGGCTCCTGAATATAAGTGTAGAGAAGGTAAGTGTAAAGATGAGTGCCTTTTCTATTTATAATTACGCATTAAAAGGAAGTGTTTTAAAGGCCTCATCATGTGTGCATTATCATAACATATTTTATGTTATTGTAATGGCCTCTATATTTTTGTTTGCAAACAAAAATGTTAAAATCTGGAGTCTCATTTTCTTATGCTACCACTAGGAGTTGCTATAAGTCAGAAGTATTCAAATCTTACATGTAAGAGCTTTAAAAATTGATTTCTTATTACTGCTGTCTGTATTTTAACAGATACTATCCCAGCGGAGACGCTTTTGCATCTGGATCGGATGACGCTACAGTAAGAATTGATTTCTTCATGTTACCTTTGACTGGTGAAGCCAGTTTTCATGTGCAGCGTGCTGCAGATAATTAATCATAATTACACTGCACCATAAAAAAACAGAAAAAAATGAAAACACTCCCCTTTGTTACAGTGCCGCCTGTATGACCTAAGGGCAGACAGGGAAGTGGCTATCTATTCCAAAGACAGCATCATATTTGGCGTCTCCAGTGTTGATTTCTCGCTCAGTGGTACGATATATAGAATATTTACCTTCGCCGTTGTTTGTACTGAGCTTAAGGATAATGCCGCTAAAACATTTTGGGTGTGCCCTCTCTTTCCCCAGGCCGGCTACTGTTTGGTGGCTACAACGACTACACCATTAATGTTTGGGATGTTCTCAAAGGAACACGGGTCTCTATTCTGTTTGGACACGAGAACCGTGTCAGCACCCTGCGGGTTTCCCCTGATGGGACAGCCTTCTGCACAGGTTCCTGGGACCACACTCTTCGGGTATGATATCTGATCTGGCACATGTGATTACTCCAGGTTTCTGTCTGGTTATATCTTGTAATGTCTATTTTCTTTGCCTTCCAGATCTGGGCCTAAGCATCAAGACAAAAACGATTAAATAGTAGACAGACCTACTGAAGACACACTGATGTTTCTGTTTGCTAGAGTACAATCACAGAGATAGAGACTCAGTTTTGATTGTACATAGGGCACATCAATAGCATTGTATATACTCCAGTGTTTTGGCCAGGGTAGATTTACATATTTTAAAGAGTAATAAACCAAATGGCTAGCTCGCATTACAATGTGATGGGAAGAAAAGGTGCACAGAAGTTCTTACGATTACAACTATGAAGTTTAAAACAAGTATATTACTGAAAATATTATTGGTAGTGGCTTGCATCAGTCTAGGATAGAAGTGACACAATAATGTGATGTGTTAATTAGCCCACATGGAGGAAAATACATGTTTACTTATTGTTATTATTTTTTATTAAACAAATGAGGACATTCATTCAGAGGAGACATCAAAGAGCAGGGGGGCTTTTCTGTGAATGGCAAAAGTAATGAGAAATAATAATGAGATTTATGGAGAAAGGTACAAATTAATATTTTATTTTGGAAATTATATTAAATGTACATCTAACAAACAACGTGTGCACCCAACAGCTGCTTCTCACCTGCCAATATAATACTGTATCAATATCAATGCAAAGAAAGCACATTAATAGGTAAACATGAGATGAATGATTTTTTTTCATACCTGTAATTTAAAATATGGTTTACTACATCTTTTTGCGTTTCCAGATGTGGAAGCCACTCACTACTCGATGTGCACTAGAGACACCCTGAACTTGTGCTACCCCACTGTTGAAATACTAATAAGTTAAAAAAAATAAATTAAAAAATATATATACATATAATTGAATGTACTCCTTTTCATGCAGTTGTCCAATGGTTGTAATTTCATATTTAGAGTAATTATTGTAGTTTAGTGTACAGATATGCAGGGGACTGTTAATCAAACTATTACAAACATAATAAAATCAGTTTTGAATATCGCTCCTACGTGTCTCTTTATTATTATTATTATTATTATTATTATTATTATTATTATCTCAGCAGAGTGAGGGCCCACTGTTACTGTTGAGGGTTTCCAATAAAATTTCAAATCAAGCGGAAGTGACATCATCAAAAAGCCTTGCCGATTCAAAACAATGGCCGACAGAAGAGCCAGTGTTGTAACTCTTGTAGTCGTTTTAAATGTTTAACTAGTAACATTTAATGTGTGTATGTAAGAGACTCTTATTGTGATGTTTAGCGATTTAATAAGTGTGTTTTATAAGAGAGAAGCCAGCTGCTTAGCCCGCTTTTAGCTGCCAAAATGAGCGATGTTGTGGAGAAGACGCTGACAGCTCTGCCGAGCCTCCTCTCTTTAGACTCTCACCCTGGGTCTGCAAAACTGTCCTCTACTTCAAAGCTAGGAAACCTCATCAGAGGAATCACTGAGCTAACGTCTAAACATGTGAGTTTGCCCTTTGAAATGAACTAAAAACAAGATAAGTTGACGATACCGTCTAAGGTTGCTAAGCTAAGCTGCCTGTGCTAACTCATTATAGGCATGTCTTTACGTTTAACCTACTTACTGGATGCCTTACATTACTGTACTAAGTTAGAGGCTGGTTTACAGGCGTTGTGTTGTTTTTGCCATGTTAATATCATGTGGCAGAACAAATTATAGCAGTGCTACTTCACGCATTTATCCTCACTGGTGCGTTCATGTTCATTTTCGTAAACTCAGACAAATTGGAGAAGTTCGTCTTCTGGGATTTCCGAGGTTTTGGTAAATGTTTTTTGGACAGGATCCTGGTATTTATCACGTCTAGTCTCTGTGGCAGAAAGCACTCAATGCATACAGGACAAGTAGTCAGCAGTATTCACTCACTTGCCACTTTATAAGGCACACCTGTTCAACTGCTTTTTAACACAAATCTCTAATTTCGTTGCAGCAGTTCCATGCATTTAGACATGCGAACCCGCTGAAGTTCAAACTTGACCATCCGTGATTTAGGTGATCATGGCATGGTTCTTAGTGTCAGACAGGCTGGTCTGAGTATTTCAGTCTGTCAGATTGCTCCTCTGCTTGGATTTTCTCTAGAGTTTATAGAGAACATTGCCCAAAAAAGAGAAAACACAGAAGAGCAAGCCTGAATGTTTAAATTCTGAATGCACAACACACTTAACTGTGAAGCAGATGTGCTATAGCTGCAGAAGACCATAGCAGGTGCCACTCCTGTCAGCTAAGAACAGGAAACTGACTGGAGGAACTGATTAATAAAAGGGGAAAAAAAGAACAGGAAACTGAGGCTACAATTTGGATGGCGTCACCAAATATTGGACAATGAAAGATTAGAAAAATATTGCCTAGTTTCACATTTTCTATTGGAACATTTGGATGGTTGGGTCTGAACTTGGCATAAACATCTTGGAGCCATCCTACTTTGTGTCAGTGGTTCAGGCTGCTGCTGCTGCTGGTGTAATGGTGTGAGAGATATTTTCTTGGCACATGTTGGGCACCCCAGTGCAAACTGAGCATCAATTAAACTCCATAACCTGAATAACACGCCATGTCACAAAACTCAAATCATCTCAAACCGGTTTCTTGAACATGACAATGAGTCACTGTACTCAAATGACCTCCACAGTCAACAGATGTTAGTCCAAAAGAACACCTTTGGTATTTGTAGGATCGGAGTTTCACATCATGAATTAAGAGAGTGACTAGTCACTAGTATGAGCTAGGTGTAACTAATAAAGTGGCCAGTTTGTATAAACCTTGTATTGTTAAACCTGCATACCTGAAATTCTTACTGCATTTCTTTGGTGTTAAATGGTGTGTCTGTATATTCCAGTTACCTTTTGGCAAGCAAAAGCTTGCTGGTTCATTTCCGAGCACAGATACAAATCCCCTTTGAGGTTGTTTCAGGAAGAGTATCCACCGTAAAACCTCTGCCAAATTAAGCATGCAAAACTACTTGCTGTGGAGACTCCTTATGAAAAGGGAGCAGCCAAAATTAACTTTTCACACCATCTTGGAAATTCCAAGCAAACATTTCCCCATTTTTCTGAATTAAGAAGATATCTTAATATCCCAAAAGAGTTTCCGTCCTACTTGAAGGGTTGATTACATGAGTAACAATGACCACCACCCCATTATTGCATATCTTCAAAGTCCTATCAATTCATTTGACTGTGAAGAAATATTCAGAAGACTCTTAAGTCTCTAACAGTACAGTGCCATCTGTTTCGCCCACTGATGCCAGTATTTCCCCTTGTTTCAAAGTGAATTACTCATAAAATCAAGCTTTTGAGAAAATAGAGCTTCTTAGGATTTTAGTAGGAAATTAGTAGGAAAATTCTAGCAGAAGTGTTGCCACGTGTCTGGCAGGAAAGAGAGTACCAATTTGTTTATTTGCAAAAAAAACCCCCGCACTACATTTTTGGAAATATTTGTGGGTGTTTTCTATTTTTTGTGGGGGATTTTGTACTACATGAACACTGAAGTGGCCCCAGTGAGATGACAGTGCCAACAGTGGCCCACGCTCATTTAAGTTTAGACCCCTGCTCTATAAGGTATCGCCAAGGCCGAAAACATTATGACATAATTCAAATAATTCTCATGTTCAGTAGGAATACTCTATAGGAATAAACCTTGATGTCTCACAGTCTGAAATACATTTAAACTTGTGTTTCTTTGCATCACTGGCTCGCTGTAAACTTCTCATTACCTTGAAATAAGCATGATTCGGTAAACCACCAATGTATTTCATCTTACTTCCCATTGTCTCCTGTTCTATAGGAGGAAGAAAAACTTATTCAGCATGAGCTTTTGGCGATCAAAGAACAAGTGTCCTCTCCCAACACCACCATGGTAAATCTTTCCTGGTTTTTCTCTGCTGTCTTGCACAAGAAATCATATACATTAAAATTCCACCGAGACACGAAGTTACCAATGTGTTTACTTCTTCCTTTTGTCATAATCTGATTCAGAGGCAGATGAAGGAGCTCATGGTGCGATCGATCTACTGTGAAATGTTGGGCTACGAGGCTTCCTTCAGCTATATTCATGCCATTAAACTGGCTCAGCAAGGCACTGTTCTGGAAAAGAGAGTCGGTAGGTTTAATAAATAACTCATTCCTCAGAGTCTCGTGTGTCAGGGCCCATTTGTTCTTATGATCTACACACAAGGCCAGGAGGAGCAGCTGATGATGAGGCAGGTTGCATAAACTTGTTAGGACAACGAGGAGAATATTGCATGGAACAATAAAAGCTTCGTCCTTTGTGGCAAATTCTGACATATGTCTAGTTTCATAACTCATGTTTGATTACTTGGGAAGAAGAGAAGGGTGTTGATGAGACGAGAGAGTCAGCTGAACAGAATGTACTGATAGGAGGTGGGCTCCAGCTGGTTGTTGAAAGCTGCTGATCTTCCTCTAAATCCTTGGCACACAAAACGACATGTAAAAGAATACCACGAAGGAATAAAAAACCCCACCGCACCTGGTCTCATGAATCATTTTACATTTATGTTCCAGTGCGCGTCCTTACGTGGCCTTACTCCCTCCTCTTTTCTTAATTTAAAGGATAATACTGTCATTTTTGAGGATTTAACAATAAAGATTTATACAACAAAAAGACACAAGGTGGTACTTTAAAAGCTTCAGAGTGTTGAGAGTGTTGCAGAATATGGATTTATTTACAACATCAGTGTTAAATATGAAAAAGCTAGACTGCTTTGGTCACAAATATGTTTATTTGTGGTTTTTCAGGTTACCTCGCTGTGTCCTTATTTCTGAATGAAAGTCACGAGCTTCTGCTCCTCCTGGTAAACACTGTGTTAAAGGTGGGCGTGGGCTTACACAACATTCATCATACGATGCCCAAAAGGGAATTTAGGATATTTGATTGTCGTGTTTTGTGTTCACAGGATCTTCAGAGTACAAATCTTATTGAAGTGTGCATGGCTCTGACTGTTGTCAGCCAGATGTTCCCCAAAGATATGATCCCTGCAATCCTTCCTCTAGTGGAGGAAAAACTAAATCACCCAAAGTAATGAACGCTGCTCATCACCTGCATGCATGGTTGAATATTTCTTTGTGCCGTTGAGCTTGAATATTTTTATTAATACGTTTTTGTCGGGACAAACTTTCAGAGAAATCATTAGAAGGAAAGCAGTCCTGGCGCTGTACAAGTTCTACCTAATAGCACCAAATCAAGTTCAGCACATCCACAACAAGTTTCGCAAAGCTCTTTGTGACAAAGATCCTGGTGTGATGACAGCCTCACTACACATCTACCTGCAGATGATCCAGGTAGTTACTGGTTTCCTCATAATTTGCAGTACTCTGTTGAAATGTACATATGTATGTATTTATTTATTTTTTGCTTTAATACAGGAGAACCCAGAAGCTTACAAGGACCTGACGCCAAGTTTTGTCACCATATTGAAGCAGGTGGTGGGAGGAAAGCTGCCCATGGATTTTAATTATCACACTGTTCCTGCTCCATGGCTTCAAATTCAGCTGCTCAGAATACTCTCCTTACTTGGAAAAAATGATCAGAGGTAGATATTATTTGTCCCATCTTCACATCTCACTAAAATCACCCGATTCTTCACTGATTTTGTGCATGTTCTCTCTCTTCATAGTACAAGTGAGGTCATGTATGAAGTCCTTGATGAGTCTTTACAAAGAGCAGAGATGAACCATAACATCACTTATGGTATGCAGCATTTCTAATCAGTATGCTTTTTGTAACCATTTAAGTTCTTCTGTCAGCCACTTATATACGTTTCTCTTTATTTCCAGCTATTTTATACGAGTGTGTAAAATGTATTTACACAATTCATCCAAAGTCCAACCTTTTGGAAAAAGCTGCAAAGTGCATTGGAAACTTTGTTTTGTCCCCCAAGATAAATCTAAAATATCTAGGTAAGAGACAAAGAGAAACACGACTGTACATAAATAATGTCTCTTTGTTGAAAATCTAACAAAAACACTTTC